CCAAGCAAATCTTGGTAAGGATAGTGGAGATTTCTCTTGATTATCTTAGACCAAGGGATAAAGGGTACACCATGCTGGTGCAGCACCACAGCATGGAAATAGCCTGGCAGGAAAGAAGTGGGGAGAAAGGAGAGTAGAAAAGGGAGAAAGCTAGGAGCCCTGGACCAGCGCCCTTGGACCGCTGTTGTGTTTACTTATGAAGTAAGGATCTTCTTTGAAGCTAACAATGCACAGTGTAATAACTGTTGCTATTCTCTTATTATTTGATTATAATTATTATTTTTTTTCCTTCATAGAATAAGAAAATTGTGTCATAGTCAAACTATCTTTATTATGGCCAGATTATAAAGAAAAATCTAATAATTTCCCTTTAAGGAGTACGTTCTCAAGCCGGTTGTGGTGGCAGCATTTGGTAGGTGAAGGCAGGAGGATTGCTGAGTTCAACACTAGCCTGGGCTATACAGTGAGTGCAAGGCCAGCCTCAGCACATAGCCAGACCTTGTCTAAAAAGAAAAAATAGCATGCATCATTACACTTTACATTAAATATCCTCTACACAAACTGAGGATCTTCAGGCGCTGTGTTATCCAAGGACCAAGGAGGGGCCTACAGTCAGGCTGTCAGTGGAGCTGGTCCTGTCTGTGGACCTAACGGAAAATCCATTTCTCAGCTTCTTTTTCAGTTTCTAACATCTGCCTCTATTCTGTAGCTCATAGCTCTTCCTGCATCTTCAACTAACAGCACCCCAATCTCTACTTCCAGCACTACACTGTCTTCTCGCTGTAGCCAGAAATCCCCCTCTAAGGATGTGTGGCTGTACTTATGGCCCACCTGAATAACCAAATGACTTCCCCATTCAGCATTCTTTTTTTTTTTTTTTTTTTCCTCGTCTTTTTAAGACAGGGTCTTACTATTCAGTTTGGGCTGGTCTTGAACTTATTTTGTAGCCAGGCCTGGCCTTGAGCTCTTGGCAATCCACCTGCCTCAGCCTGCCGAGTGCTTCAGCATTCGTAATTACATCTTCAAAGTCCCTCCTGCCATAAACACTCAGAGGCCCGGAGGGCTCGCACGTTTACCCTGCCACAGAGCCTAAATGTCCTCAGAACCTAATCTTAAAGGTCCATTTGCTAAGTGTGTCAAGATATGTCTATTAAATACGTGCCTGATGAAGAGCCTCGGGCCTCACACACAGCTCTATTCGGCCGCAGTAATCACTCACCACGCTGACCTTGGCGTTGTTCTTCAGATTCTTAGCACAGTGTCGCCACCACCTTGCTGCTCAGCAGCTCCGTGGCTGACTGGGGATCTATAGGCCAGTGCGCTGATAACCCCACTGAAGCTCACACACTTGCAAAGTGGGTTGTGTGACACAGGCACGGAGGTCGTTACATCCGTCCAGGCCCACACAGCCAGAGGATGTAGCTCAAGACCAAGTCCAGCACCTGTTCTGAAGCCTTACCTGTCCTACCAGATGGCCCAATGCCACAGGACAGGGCACAAAGTGGAGTATTGTCCAGGTGGCTCTGCAGGGCACAGACGCCCGCTCCTGGCCCTTGGATGCAGTCTCCACCGTCAGGTCAGCCAGCACATACCAGAATCCCAGAGCCCTCTCTTTCTACTTGACGCCTGAGTTACCTGTCACTACCCAATAAAGGAGATCGTGAACACTGGTGTCGATGGAGGAGCAGCCTTCTGGGATATGAGCTCCACTCTGCCCACACGGTTCCTCTCTGATTAGGCTGCCTCCCCCGTACTCTGTAGGATGTGCACTGTGAAAAGTTGGGAACACATCTCAAATCAACTGCTCGTTCCAGGCTACCATGGCAACAAGTGCTCGTCCCAGCAGCTGCTACAGGCGAGTTTAGCTTTCTGCCCTTGAAGTTCTGCCTTAGCATCTGTGGCAAGCCTGTCAGAGCCCAGTCATGCTGGAGAGCAGCTTCAAGGTTCTGACTTAAATCCCTTTGCAGACAGGCAAGCTTGCAGGTGAGAGGTTCTAGTTCTGTGATCAGAGATCTGTAAGTTCCACCCTGGACAAGCTACTGTGTGTTTAAATTGTTCTCAGTAACATGAGCATTTTGAGCAAAGTATTTTTCCAATTTGTGTGTCATGAATAAATTCGTGGGTGTGAGCCACTGATTTCCTATTGCTGCTGTGGCAAACACAAATTCAGTGGCATAAAGCGCAGGTTATCTTACAGGTCTGGAGGCCAGAAGTCCACAGGGAGCAGCAGCACTGTAGCCCTCACGAAGGCCCTAGAGGAAAATCCGCTTCCGTGTGCTCCTGTTCTGGAGGCTGCCTGTGGGCCAGGCCTGTGGCCCTGAGTCGTTCAGAATCCTGCTTCCATTGGTGCATCTGCTCCAGACCCAACCATCCTGCCTCTGATTTATGGTGATCCTGCAATGGGCCGCACGTGGATAATCTCACAGGGTCAAGACCCTGATCGCATCTGCAGAGCCCATGTTGCTAGCGTTGTCAGGCTCTAAGGCGTGAGACGTGGACATGAGGTGGGCTGTCATTTTTCACATACTGGTCAGAAAGTCACTTAAATAGACAATTGTTTTCTGTGCTGGGGATTGAATCCAAGGCCTCCTGGATGCTAAGCTGACTCGGCCCACGAGTCGAGACGTGGGGTAATGACCTGGAGGAGGAACGGGGATGAAAAAGACAGGGCAAGAGACACGAAAGACGGAGACAAGACAGGCTTCCTGATCAAGTCTCGTTTATTGAGGAAGTGAGCAGGGTCTAAACAGCCGCACAGTGGAAGCAGTTGGGTGGGACTAGTTGTGGATTGGTAGTGGAGGTCCAGGACCACAGGAAGACGTGGACGCAAGCGGGGATTGGTGCTGCAGCACTTCTTGCCCAAATAAGGGAAAACATAACAGGAGCGTTCTATCGCCCCCCACACTAAGCAATCTTTTTATTTACAAAAAGTGCCATTAAAAAGAGCACATGAAAGTTTTATTTTTGGTTCTGAAGTGCAGCAATACAACATTATGAAATCACACAAACACAGAAGTGTGAATCTTAGATCACCTGCCTTGTCATTAGCAGAATCATGCCTTGTCTGGATCAAGGTCCAAAGAATACCTCAGTAATACTAGAGATTCTGATTCCCATCACTCTAGAAACGCAAAGCTTCCATGCAATGGAAGGTATATCTTTCCTCATGCCAGGACTGAATTCTAGAAATGAAAAGAATTCAGAAAAAAAGGTGTTGAAATAAGGCAGAAGACTGCACTATAAAGTTAGATTGCTGTGTACCACAAGATATCAACCACATAGTCCTACATAGTCTCTCCTTGACTTCAGTGTTAGATTTTGAAAATCCCAGTAAGATGAAAATTCGTAGCCAAGAGGTAAAAGTCCCTAATATCAGACACTTGTATTTCTACTTCCCCCACAGAGAATTTCAAATTGTGCTCTCCTTGTGAAAATTCTGATTTACATCCAGTTTTCTTCAAGCTGAAGGATACAAGTGAACTTGTTCCTGCAGTAGAGATCTTAGAGCCTGTGAGCTCACGTGTTGACGCAGACCTGTAGGTCGGGGCCCCTCGGGGAGCCTCAGTGGCTGGCGAAGCATCAGGTACGTGTGATGAGAGTCTTCATACCAGGACTTACTCTTGAACCCAAGGAAGGAGCCTCTTACCACAGTATTCCTTTCCCACAGGAAGGAGACTGCTGGCCTCTTGACAGGACTGCAGAGGGACGTGTAACTAATTTTAAGTTTTCAAGGAAGTTGTCTGAGTCATTTGAGGTAGGAAATACTTTGAGGCTGGAGACTAGATCCCTTTTTGGGGGACACCTAGTTTCTCTTAGGAAGCTCTACTAATGATTAAAGGCAGTACTAAATTGTGGGTAACCCCTAAGAAGCCATGTTACACATCTGTTCCCCATGGTGGCGATGTTGGGCTGCTGCATACTTTTAAGGAGGTCCTTAGGTCAGTGGAGGAATGACCCAGAGGGGACTATGGGGTCCTAGTGCTGTCCCCTGCTTCTTGCCTCGATATGGCCACTCCCTCCGACTTCCACTCTTCTACGCCATCAGCACAGGCCCAGTCCGACGGGACTACCCAGGGGCTGGCTTGGGCCTACAGAGTGTGAGGGGTGGTCCCACAGTCACTTTGCTGCTTTGTAAACACCCCATGCCAGTATTTTTTGAAGTGACAGATTCAACACAGGTAGCTTCCAGCCCCTACCTTTTTTGTGGTCAAAGGGATGAAAGAGTTGAGCTCACCTAAGTGCACTCCCAGATAGGCTACAGCTAAACCCTATTACTGGGTGTACCAGAGGATTCACGTAGGAGTGAAGGGTCAGTCTGGCACGCGAAAACAAATGAGGACCAAAACGTGTAATAGGTGTCATGAAATGGGAAAAAAATGTTTAGATGGGAGGGGAACGAGGGGGAGGGGAAACAAAGAAATGGAGAAAATGGAAACAAGGCTTCTGTAGATGAGGGGTGGGGCCGTTGGAGGGAGGGGAGGGAGATAGGGGAAAAGAGCCAAGAGATCCTGTCCAGGTACAGATTCCTATGACGAATGCTATCATCATGTATATCTAAAGTGTGCGATTTTTAAAGATGTAGTTATAAGACTAAATTATTGCTGAAATTAAAAGTATGTTTTTGTAGTCTCAATGGGCTTAAAATAAAAAAAAAGGCAGGAGGAGGGGCATAAAATATTACAAAGAATGTTTTAAGAAGTAATAAAGGGGGCTGGGGAGATAGCTCAGTAGAATAAGTACTTCCTTGGCAAGCGCAAGGGCCTGAATTCAATCCCCAGTTCTGCAAAAAAAAAAAAAAGGTAGTAAAGGGTCAGAAGACCCTTTTAATTCTTCCTCTTCAGTCCATGTAGACCTAAGCCTGGCCAGAGGATTGTGCCTAGGTATTCTATCTAGTTTAAAAAATAAAAAGTATATAAATCACTGAAAGAAAATCCCTCAAGGCTGTCTCATCTTACAAAGGTAGAAGGCAAGAAGTTCACTAACTTTATTTGCGAGTTCAATCAGCGACTTAGCATCACAGTTCTTCTCTTACGCAGGTACCAGGCAAGTCCTACAGTCACCACTGAGCCCACTAAGGCAGCCCCGGCAGCTGCTGCTTTGGAAGCAACTTCTCCAGCCACGCGGAGCCCCTGGGTGTCCACAGCATCTGGAAAGGAAGCATCTCATAAGGTCAGGCTGGAGGGCTACATTGCAGCCTTGTGTACCAGGACTCCCCCAGAGAACCGAGCACAACCAAGCTTCACTAAACTGCTTTGGGAAGTCTTGCACAGGGTCTACGCACCCTTATTCTGTGAGCCAACCTCCTCCTCCCCTGGTCCACGCCCACTTTCCTCTCTTCCATTCCCACTTGCTTTTTCCAGCCTCAAGTCAAACAGATGGACACCTGGAAGGGGCTCAGAATTCCTGCCTGCCTGGCACTACATCTGATGCTCACAGACAGGGCTAGCCAGTCTCCCAATGCATGATCTCACATGCTAGGGAGACAAGCCTGCATAATTTCACATTCCAGACCCAAAGGTAAGACAATCTGGGGTGAGAATGTGGGAGGGTAACAGCAATATTACCTAATATAGACTTGTATAATAGTGGCAAGTCAAGAGACGCTCATGTCCTTGGGCCCACCCATCCTACTAGAAACATCCCGAATAGGGTGTTGCATAGTAGGCAACATCCTCTCAGAACTAATACAGTATTAAGGATCCAATATGACACTATTAAAGTAGAACTAACCTAGATATGTATGATTGAAGTGCATGACTACATGGCTGAAACAGTAGGTGGGTCCACAGATGTAAGATAGCTACAACGGGGGGTACTAGGTCAGTAGGCAGGACATAGGACCCTAACGAAATGGAGGTTTCTGAAACTTGATAGAGAAGACTCAGCAGAAGCCTCTCTGGGAAGAGAGACCATCTTATTCTCTTAGTTTATTGTGGGCATGTGTTATACATAAATATTAAGCTCTGGGGATAAAGAGTCCAGCAAGTAACCGAGGCTTTAACTCAGTACCTCTCAATGCAGAGTTGTCTGACAACAGGAGAATGGGTCCCGGGAGGCTGACTGTCATTTTGTCCTCTTCAGTGGCCCCTGTAGCTAGAGACAGATAATCAAGGTAACTCTTTACGCTTACTGTAAAGTTCAGATGGATTTTTAGAGAATTCCTCCACAGAGCTAGACAAGAGCCTGCCCATCTGACTCAGTGGTAAGCACACACTGGGCTAAGGAAAGTTTTCTCGGGTTTAGGGACTGAGAGTGAGTCATATCCATTCTTAAAGCCTTTAATTCTGGAAGGCTGAAGCTTGGGCTGAGTAAGGATCCCAGGAGCTGGGAGTTGGGGATTTTACCTCTCCTGTTCCTAGATGAGGGAGGGCACGTCACAGAGCACAGAGGGGAGTCGGGGGAGAGCCGATTGCAGACCAAGGCACTGCAGTGGAAGTAGACCTGGAGGCAGGACACTTAGGTTGGACCAAAGCACCCACACTCAGCCGGCTGCCCCAAGTAGCTCTGCGATTACTCACCAGGGTAGGGAGCACCCGATCCTCCCATAAGAAGGCAAAGGTCTTCACTTCGAACCTCTGATAGTGATAAGGATCGGCTGTGGAGGAGCCAGCTGGGTGGAAGGTGGTCTGGTAGTTGTCCAGGTTGTATTCACAGCTAGAAAGCAAGCACCAGGGAGAGACATCAGTCACATCTGCCCCCACGTTTGTCCAAAATTTTTTTTGGTGGTACTGGTGATAGAACTCAGGACTGCACTCGCCAGGCAAGCCCTTATTCTGCTGAGCTATCTCCCCAGCCCTGTCCAAAGTGAGTTACGTGCAATGCCTTCAGAGGTACAGCCTTGCCTACCTTCTATAAGCATCTTTTACTTTTATGACCTGACTCAGCTAATGGAAGCAGCAGGTCCCAAGTTGTACGTTACAGTTGCATCCTTTTCTGCCGTGCACTAAAACACCTCTTTGTTCATCAATAGGGCAAGTTTTATGTGCATACTTCAGAAGACAATAGCTTAGTTATTCCCCCTAACGAGTGTCGGTTATGCCAGGAGTATACATTGGGGATAGGACCAGAAAGTCCCTGCTACTTTATACTTCACACGTTAGCAGGGCAGGAAGGAACTTAAAGGACATAACATGCTAGGTGGTAAACACCAAGGGACGAGACCAAGGGGAGGGAGAGGGGTCCAAGGTAGGCCTCCTGGAAAGGGTTGCCCAGCCAGTCCATGAGGAAAAGGCATGAGCCGCACAAATGCACGGCTGTGTGGCCCCAAGACAGGTGTGCGCCTTGTGTGAAGAGCGCAACAACAGGCTCCTCCTCCACCCAGTGTCGAGAAAGCCAACATGCAGCTTGCCACAGGTGCAGACCCTGGATAGAGCCTGCAGGTGGCGCTGAGGACAGCCGTCTTTGCAAGCTTCTGCCATCGTTGTACCTGGTTCTTCTGTCCAGTGGGAGTGCTAATCCCAGCTCCACTACTTACTAAGTATTGCTTCAGATTAGTTAACTGCGTGGCAAGGTCGAGTTTTCTTCAGGATTAAGAGGGCTAATGTCTCCACGGCAGGGCGAGGAGGCTCAGATGGTGCACAGTAATGCAGGATGTCTAGCATGTGGCATAAATTAGTTTGCTGGGTGGGGGATGCAGATGCCATTTCTCTGGATAGAGTACTGGAGTCAGACTCCTCTGGTGGAGGCCCCACTCTGAGAGACTCCAGGGTGGCAAAGCAGCCAGAGCCACCTTGCTATCCTGAGGGCTGAGAACTAAAACAAGGACTAAGCCCAGGCCTTTGTGACCAAATGTTCCCCAAAACCCAAGACAGTTTATTTTCCACACAGGCAAATCCTGAAGGAAGTTAGGCAGCCCTCTGAGAAGCACCTACCCATCCACGAGGATGCGCCACTGAGGGAGAGAAGTGGGGTCCGTAGTGGAGGTTGCCCAGCAGTCATCCAGGACCAGTTTGATGTTGGGGTCAGTCTTGTTTAGAATTCTGACTTCCATGTGAATTGGCTGGCGGAGGTATCTCACGATAGGGTACTCACTGTACCTGTAAGGCTGCTGGTAGGAGTTATCTGAAATGGAGCAGGACCCTCAGTATTCAAGGAGGCTGTAGCTACCACATGCACCTCAGCATCACCACTGTTCCATTAGTCTGGCAGCACCCAAAACTTCATTTTAGGGACCTCCACCCCAAGCATCTTAGCCAGAGGCCTGCACACCTCACCTGGGTAGGTTTGCAGAATCAGCGTGAGCAGACCTGGCTTCACAGATGCCACTGGAGGAGGCAGACTTTCGACGTTGGCATTTAGTAGCACGCTGTCCATATGGTAATAGCACCTCACTGTCATTCTGCAAGAACACAGAGGGGTAACAAAAAGGTAGGTTAACAAATTCTTTGAATTTAGAGTTTTAAAAGAAAATAAAATAGCAACTGCATCACACCTGAATTCACTATCTCTGGCTATTTTGCTCGGAGGAAGATCTTTCCAGAGAGCATGAATTTCATTTTCGTAGATAACTTTATCATCTTCGAACTTAAATGGTAGAGAAAGTTGGTTAACAGTGAATTAAAAGGAAGTGTTGACGCCCCCCCGCCCCGCCCCCTGCCAGCACTAACCTTCTGCTTTGTTCCACACCCATTCAGGGGTATGTGGAACCGTATCAACTCCTCTGACTGAGCCATGCGGACAGGCCGGCAGGAGGAGTTCCCCACTCGGAGGGAACCCAGACGGAGAGCTGGTTTTGTTTGCTGGCTGTCAACCTCAAAGTCCATAAACCCATCGTGAGTGCACAGCTCTCCTGCAACCAGCAGCAGCAGATGTTTGGAGAAAATGAACTTGGCAGAATGGCATTTTTCAGAGAACAAGAAAGTGATACTCTCCACCCATCAACCTCGTGTTATGCGGAGACCGATGGCATTCAGCCAGGGGCTCCAGGATTTGTCCTAAGTCGACACCAGGGAAACCCCTAGATAATCAACTTGAGGAACAAATGAGCTTAAACACATTGCGAGGGGAGGAAAAGCACGGGAGGAAGGGCCGTCCCCGCAACAGACTGGGGAGAGCAGCCGTGATGGGCAGCTCTGGCGACAGCCTGACACATCCCTTAATGTAGGCTGAGTACTGACATGATGTTCAAAGTTTATTTTAAAGCATTTCAGATTTTTATGTTAAGGATATTTAACTGATAAAGTCTATACAAATATTTCAGAAATCTGAAAAATTCAAAACTCTGAAACTTTTGGTACTGAGCATTTTGAATAATAGATCCTCAATCTGAACTCACAAATCCTAAATGGTTTGAGAGAAAATTGAGGCAGGGATTAATTTTTGTTATCTAGATCAGCTTGACACAAATTAGACTAAGCAGAAGCACTGAGGCGATGCTGGATGAGAGGAAACACTCACCTGAGTAGTCCTTCAGGCACTTGGGAGGTGTGTAAGGGAAAGCTTTCATATTCCCTTTAAGATGCTGAGCCTGGGTCTCTAACCCAGACTATCCAGGCAAATTGACTGCAGGACAGTCGGAATGGGATCTAGTTACACGAGGACTTTAGAAACATAGTCAGGGCCCCGTCATAGCAGCCAGACTTTATCTGAATAGTCTTTAGTTTCTTCAAGCCATAAGCAAGAACCTGAACTTCTGTAGATTTTCCCACTGTAAGAAAAAAACTCAAAGCACTTTACCTACAGAAATTGGTGACTCACAGAGACACTCAGGATCAATCACCATGAATACTGTGTCTTGTTGAAAGTAAAAGGTCAGCTTGAGGGAAGATAAGTAGAACTGATAGAGTAGGCACTTTTCAGAGAACTGAAACGAAGAAAGAATGTCAGTTAGTGGTCACAGCCTGTCTGGGGCCCAGAGCAGACACGGAGACAGGAAGCAAGTCCATTAAACCTTGCAGGGCATGCACTGGGCTATCTGGTTCCCTTCTAAGACAACAAGAGAAACCCTATCACTTCCTCAAATCAGGAGACTTTCCCGGGCAGGAAACGTATTGCTTTAAACCATGCTCTGAAGTAGCCAGGGCTGCACGTTCTTTGTCCTGAGCATGAAAGCTTGAATTAACAGATCAAATTCCAAAGAACAGAACACTCTCCAAGTCTGAGTCAGAAAGACTATAGATGTTATAAAATACAATTACAAAGCATACAGCCTGACCTAGGATTACTGTGTCCGTGGCAATTGCATCAGTCAAAATTAGACTCAGTGAGGACCTGTTCTTAGCAGAACAGATTTATCATTCAGTGGTTGGCAAGTAGTTGGTACTTGCCAAATGAACTGAGGAAAAAAATGAAAAATTCCATTACAGAGTTTCAAAGACTTTGGTGTTGGAGAAAGCTCCAGTTACTTGCAAGTGTATCTTTGCAAGGTGATCAAGAGGTGTTCTAGAGTTGTACCAAGGTTATACTTTAAAGCAGGCTTCCCCAGGTTCAAGGCTTGAAGAGGACGTACTTTGGTTTGGAGAAGAGTCTTGCTGAAGTGTAATGTCAAGCCATTTGTAGCTTCCATGTTGATCCCACTGTCACGCAGCTGACTCATGGGGATGTCCCTGTTTTCAATGCTCACAGAGGTCAACTTGCCAGGAAAGTCGGGTATGCTGAGAGTCATGTGTGTGGCATTACATGTCACAGACAAATCTGGAGGAATGATCAACAGAATACCCATTGCCAGCCTCGAGTAAGCCCCCTAGAAAAGGGTCTCCCCTCTGAGGCTGTAGCTCCCTGTGGCCTTACCCACTGCGCAAATAGCTTGTGATGAGAAGGTGATCTTCTGCCCGGGAGACACAAAGGAAAACTTCAGGAGCGCCGTGTAGAGGTGACTGCTACCTTGCTGGAGGGACAGAGTTTTTGAAGACAGTTGCTTGCTTAAATCTCTAATGATTAGAATTGTCAAGGCAAGCACATACTCGAGCACAGGGTACTGTCTAGGTACCAGTGGAATGGCGACCTTTCATCCTGTGAATGTTCAGAAGGTGATATGGTCTTAATCTTGTCCTCTAATGTCTGGAATCTACTGTTATCAATTGGTGTCACCTGCACCTGCAGCCAATTGCTTCTAGGCCAATATGAGAAAGGGCTGGCCCTCATGACTATTTTATAGAATATTGGCAGTGAAAGAATTTCCAAAATTTAGCAATCTGCTTAAGCTCAATGTGAAGCAGGACTATTTCTCTTAGAGTGGCAGACACTTGAGCACTTCTGTGCGGGATCCTGTGCAAATAGTCACTTCACCTGTAACAGGGATGCAGGGATGCAGCCTACAAAATGTCAATCTTGCCATTATGTGATTGAGTACTTGCACAACCCTAGTTGGCTCAGCCTTCTGCATACCCAATGTACCTGACCGTTTCTACCGCACTTTTATACAGCTGGAAGTTCAGCAGGCTTATTTACATCAGCAGCACTACTGACGTGAGCAGTGCATTGTGCTGCACTGTTACTACGGCTACAGCATAACTTACACTCCTTTATAATCTTATGCAGTCTGTCATTGACCCAAATTGTGTTATGCAGCACATGACTGTACTCAAACACATTAATATACTTAATGTGTCTCACTGTCGCCTGGAAAATACCAATCCCTATTACAAAACAGGGCAATGTAACTAACATAGCACCTTCACTCACAAGAATTTTGGGAGTGCCCTTTTCTTGCCACAGACGCAAGTTTACAGGAAAGGGGGAGAAGAGATTGAGGTAAGGACCAGTACTGTTTTTTTCACTTTTACATCTTTAGTACCCAGTGAAGTGCTTGGCACATAGGCAGTAAGATACTTGTTGAATGGGCTGCGTCACCAGTTAATTTGAAGACGCATTTACATAATGCTCGGCCCTAGGAACACCGGTTGTGCCTCGGTGACACAAACGGGTGGCCACACCTACCACATAGCGAGTCACTCCAGTGGCATTGAGGGGCACGTGAAGGGTCATCTTTTGGCTGTCAATCAGGAGATTGAATCCTCCTCGGAGGGCCTCCTGCAAGGTCAGACTGTGTGCTCTTGAGGCATCCCCAACCTCAATGATCCATCCTCTATCAGAGTTGTTTGTCTAAAAGTCAAAAACTTTGATTAAGAGGACTGGTGCTCGCTCAGTCAGGAGACCATAACACTCCAGTGTTTTCAGGTTAAAGTTAAATGTCAGCATGAACAGATTTAAGTGTTAGTATGGTTGCTTATTTAAAGATTAATTTCATACCTCCGTTTCATCGGCCATGCCACGAATAACTTGTGGAAAGGAAAACTGGAAGAAAAAACATGTGAAACTTTGATTCAGAGGGAGAAAGAATCTGCAATCATGCCACCTCTCAGGAGGCAGAACACTCCCAGCATAGCTGCTGTGTGATTTTTGCACCATGAATCCTGGTTGTGGGGCACAAAACACCCAGCCTGTCGTGAAGCCCAATTATGCTCTTAGATGGCATGTCATTTCTTTGCGCTTCAGACACCAAAAGATACTTGGAGAATGTAAATTGCCTTCCAGATGGAAGCCGAGACACAGGGTCCCTAACGGTACAGCCTCTTCCTAGGTCTACAGAAATGCGCTGACATTCAGATTACAGGTTGTCTCCTAATCTCCAATTGTCCAGCATCAGTATTAGCCATAGAAGACTATGAGCTTCAGGAGGATGTGGTAGGGCCATTTTGCTCATTTACGGCAGCTAGCACTGGGGACAGGGCCTGGAGCACAGCATGTGCTCAGGTGGTCAAGTGATCATTACTGTGATTTCCAAGGTCATCCAAACCCTTTCTATCACTAGCTGTTGTAAACTGTTGTAAACCCAGGGCCAATTCTTAGGACACCTTATCAGGTGAAAGTTATCATTCCTCCATTTTGGACTTGGAAACAAAGCCTCTGTGTGGCTATGAAATAAAATTATCCACAGAAGTTGTTGACTTGAGTCTTTCACAGCTCAGCATATTAATATGGCTTTACTTTATATACCTCTTTTTTATACTTTTCTGCTGGATGGTTAAGACCAAGATAAAGCAAGACTTGTATAACAAGAAACATAACTTTTGTATCTGATAAGGTCAGTCTAGTACCCTCAGGATTTATCCTGTAACCCTGTACTGCAGTTTGCAGATCCTGTGTCAGTGTCAGTGTCAGCCATGTGAATGAGTAGTAGCCATTGCTTGACCAATTTGCTCTGTGAAAGCCTGAGAAAATGTTTTCTCTCCATGTGACTCTCCTTAGGCACACTCTACATCAATCACATTCCTCTGTGGCTCCATAATCTCCTCGATCAGAAAATTTGGGACACAACTGAGTTACATAATGTTACAGTATAGGTTCTCCTATGTCCCGAGTCTTCACTGACCTTGAAAGGCTAGGGCCAAAATGTTGGCTGTCCTTGCAGCCCTTCTATTTCTCTAATTTTTGGTCTGCAAACAACAACTCCTGCGGATAAACCACTATTATTGTGGACTGCTGGACTGTGATGGATGTTTTGCTGAATCCACACCCTGTAGTATTTAGATGACAATGGAATACCCATTTCTGATAGGACTAAACAAAAAAAGGTGATACAAAGGAAAGACCATTTTGTATCTGTATATGCAGAATAGTTAGGATAGATATACAGCTACTTTCTCTTAATTCAATGAGAAGATTTGTACTAACAGTGTTTGGACAGGATATCCTGTCTGCTTCTTGTACTATGGATAACCACTAAGAAGATAACAATGTACAATGTATTAATTATTGAAACTGTCCTATTAATCAGTTTTTAAACTGTCTCATTGATATTTCTCAATAAAATAAGAAAAGAAAATTATAGTCACAGAACACAGCATTGAAGTCCTGTGCGGTTTCTAAGCCCAGCTCTTAGAATTCCCTCATATTTCCCTTGCTTTTGCCATATCAGAAGTCAGTCCAATTTACTCACAGAAATGAAGTCCTTCATACAGACTGTGGATTCTGAAAGCTCGTGCATTTCTACTTGCATAGCTGGGCAGAAAAGCGGGTGTATGGCATCCTTGGATCCTGTAGCTACACTGTCCTCCTGGACCCTGATGTTCAGCTGGTGCCCCCCAGGCTGTGTGACAACAGCACAGGAAAAACCATTAAACCCTGGACCCTCATGGGAAAGGCCACTGCACAACATCTGACCCAACAAAGTGGCCATCTGGGAAGGTGTTTCAGAGGGGAAGCTCAATTCCCTAGATCACAGTGGGCAGTGATTACTGCATCAGACATGCACAGAGGGCCTGATGGACCAGGTCACTCACAGTGTAAGCCTCTTTCCGGAGGGGGGTCTCAGAAGTCATCTGCACAGACTAGGTTGTATGCTACCTGGGCTGCTGGGACCAGGATCAGATGATGTGGCCTACTAAACACGAGGGTACCAGGACTCGCCTCAGACCTACATCAGCTAAGGTCAGTTAAATCCCTGCCTTCCAGTTCCCCAGGTGATTATTTGTATTCTAAAGCTAGAACAGAAATTTGGTTTTGAGACATGGTCTCACTGTGTAGCCTGAACGCACAGTGGAGCCCAGGCTGGCCTCACATTTGGCGGTCCTCCTGCCCTCAGCCTCCTAAGTGCTCTACACCTGGCTAACGCTTGAGAACTCCCATGACAGTTTACCATTACCACTCCTAGCAGCTTTGGGCAATGGCGTTGCTGGGCAAGAGAGGATCCCTTATTACTTAGCTACTGTTTGCTTTCTAACACCTGCTTTTAGGCTACAGGGTCTCCGTTTGCTAGCATCAAAATAGCTTTCCTTCTCACATAGGGCTGTAAGATAAAAATAGCTCATATTTGAGCATTTTAAAATCTAGATTCTATTCCAAGTCTTCATCTGTACAATATAATTAATCTCTTGGAGAGGGAACCATTATCCCTACTTACCAACAGGCAAAGAGAAGCTTAGGGTTAGATGACTTGCTTGGAGCTCACACCTGCACAGCCGCAGAGGCAAAGCTCACCGAGACCCAGAGCCCCTTAACATTTCCAGTTCAGGACTGACCACTGTGATGTGGGGCTGCCCTGCGTGATACAGGTGTCAGCAACCTCACTGGCTTGTGCCCACTAGATGCCAGTCACTGCCTCTGCCCCACTGCCAGTTAGGGTGACCAGAAATATCTCCCAGCATGATCAGTTACAAGTTAGAAGTCAGCACTCACACACACACACACACATACACACACAGGTTGGGAATCACTGCTCTTCTCCAAAATCTAAATCCTTAGCCATCAAGTTTACTACAGTGGTTACTAACTTACTACTTCCCAAATCACTCCTCAAAAGCAATTACTTACCACTCTGCTGGAACATGTTTCATATGGGGCCTTCAGCGTGAGCTTTTCTGAGTCCAGAACATAAGTGCAGTTCAGCACTTCAACACCAAAGGGATCTGCAGAGGCCAGAGCAGGACAGGATGCTGAGGGCATACCCAGTGAGTCTGCCAGCCCACTGCTGAAGCACTTCGGTCACTGAACTTCCAAGCAGACCAGGGCTGTAACTCAAGTCTGTGACTCACAGCTGAGAACTTCCTAGGAGAGTCTAGGAAAAGACACTTCCTGGGGAGCACAGGGTTTTCTCCTCTCAGCAGCATCATGAAAGTCAGAGACTTCCATGGCCTCAAGGGAGTTGGATGGAAGTTGCTCCAAAATTTGAGTTGTCTGTGCAGCAAGCAAACAGGCCTGGCCCTGAATCAAGGGCTTTCTCCTGACTGGGACTAAGATGAGGTAGAACACGTTACTTACCCACCACAGATGCATGCCATTTCTTGAGGTCAAGACTTCTGGAAAACTCAACTGTTAGTCCATTTTCACTGCATGTCACGGTACCTGGAGAGCAAAGGAATCACCTGGGATCTTTTGGAGCTCCAAGAGGCACAACTCCCACAGTAGTGTAGAGTGTCTCTTTTCCCCCCCAATAACCATCAAAGGAGGACATCAACAAAGAGGCAAGGATTGTCCCCTACCCTGAGGAATTCATAATTGGTAAGAAAGACAAACTACAATATGATGCACCAAGAACTGTAAGGAAGTTATCGAACATGCAGGGCTTCCTTGATTCCAAGGATAAGCCTGACTCAAAGGTCAAAAGCAAACTTCTAGAACCCAAGTCAGATCCTTGGCAGTAGAGGTAACTGGGGAGGCAATGATAGGTCTGTGAAGAGCCAAAGACTAACAGCTTTGCCCACAGGTTCCTCAAATTGAAGTGAAAGAAAAAACCCTAGGTAAACCCCAAGCCATTTTTTTTTCTTTAGGACAAATTCTGCTGAAGATCTGTCTTTTTGCACCCTTTGGCCCAGATGAAAGTTGTTAAAAAAAAAAAAAAAGAAAAAAGAAAAAGAAAAGAAAGAAAGAAAGAAAAAGAAAATCCTGCAGCTTCAAGTGGAACTGTTTTGTGGTCTGTTACATGGATGCTTTCTCAAACCAAAGCTTGAGGCTGAAAACCACTGGCCCTAGAGACGGGCCTTCCTGTGACGCCCGCTGTTCTGCATACGCCCTACCACTGAGGCAGTAGAGGGCAAGGGGCCAGAAAATAGTGTGGCGTCCTTTCAAACCTTTTCCTTTAGTTGACCCAGCAAACTCCTAGCCAGGCAGAGGAAAACTCTAGGGACTTGGCTGAAGGGGAAAAGGTGTGTCGCCTGTGGACTGCTTGGCCAGCGAGGCAGCCTCCCTGCCAGCTGTTCTCTCTGCCAGTGGCCTTGCCCTCACTCAAGAGCATACCTGGGAAGGAAGTGTCCTCCAACTGGGAAGGACCAACTGAATTCACTGAAGCCACGAGTAGGAAGAAGAGGTAAAATGACCTGTGAATGCAGAAGAGGACAGCAGAGGACTTAGGAGTGAATTTAAGCAAAGAAGGCCATTAAGTGCTGCCCCCAGCTCCAGACTCCTCACCTCCGGGGTTCCCTGGAGCAGCTTGGGAGACTGGGAGAACCCCCTCCCCACCTACGCTCCATGGTGAAGGGCACCAGGCGGAGGGTGGGCCGCCTGTGCTCTTATAGCAAGCAGCAGGATGCGACCCCGCCCTCTGCAAGAGAGGGCACCTGAGTCTTCATCTGCGCTCCCAGTCCAGCTGAGAGGGAGGGCTTTGGGAAGGAGGTGGCCTCTGCCCTTCCTGACACTTGCCTTGAATATTCTGCTAACTGCTTCTGCAGGTCAGCTTGAAGGCAGAGCTGCCCAAAATCGACTCCAGGTGAGTGACTTTGTGTTTCCCATAACAATGGGGAAATGTATCATCTTTTGGACAAAATATTAAGAATTCCAGTGTAAAGTGAAGAGAAGTGATAGGATTTATTGAGGAAGGGCTATCATTTGTTCATACCACTAAACCTTTCTTTAAGTAACCTCTAATCTTCTGGCTACTATAGAAGCCACTCAGGCAATCTGCACTTTTAAAAAAATTTAATGAAACATTATTTACTTCCAAGTATAAAAGTGTAAATTTACTGCAAAAAATGCAGACAGTTAAAAAGGGGGATACAGAAAAAGGTAAAAGTCATATAATTGTGTTACTACTAATGTTTAGATAAGTGGTTTTATAGGCTTTTTATAGACACTAGAAGAGTTAGGGACAGAATGATGAGACTACAAACCTGAGTGCTATAAGCTATTTATTTTTGAGCTAGGGTCTCATTTTGTAATTCAGGCTGACCTTGAGCTCATTAGTAGCCCAGGCTGGCTTCAAGCTCAGCAACCCTCCTACCACAGTCTTCTGGATGCTGGGAGTTATGCCTCCATGCCTGCCTGGGTGCTGCATGGCATCTTTCAACAGATTTTTTTTTTTTTTTTTTTTTGCGGAACCGGGGATTGAACTCGAATCCTTGCGTTTGCCAGTCAAGCACTTATCCTACTGAGCCATCTCCCCAGCCCCTCAACAGATGTTTTATGAGCTCTTCATAAAACTAAGGAAACAAAATGTTTGCATGAAATGATAAGTTGTTACCAAGGGGGAAGAAACGTAAGCCCTCCACCCTCACTTTCTCTTAGCTTAAAGACCACTGGCTTTGGAGGCCCCACAGCTGGCCATCGTGGGCTTCTCACTGGCACTGCGAAGGTCACACTTTCGGTGTGGGGGTGTGATAGTAGTTGGCTTACTTCCCGGGGACCAGAAGGCCAATTCTGCTTAGAACATGGGCTCCTTAGAGCACAGACCTACAGACATCTGGTGAGCCTGACATGGATAGAGTGCTGGGCAGCTCTGTCTTCATACGGGGTCTGTCTCCTCTGTTGTCTTAGCCCTTAGGTCAGATTCTAGTCTTTCTGCACATGGAAATGCTCATCATTCAAGAAACATTTTGTCCAACACACGGGCTCAGCCTGGCTCCTGCTGCGGGAGCTGGGATGTGCTTCTTCTACCCTACCCTGTGCTCTTGAGCTGCTCAAGCCCTAAGTGCTGAAGCCCCATTGCAAGGCCAGGATTGCTGACACAGTTAGGAGGAGCTCGGCAGTTCCTAGGCAAAGATGACCGTTACCCCAGCAAGCACAAGGCTGGAACGTCTTGCACAGGATGATGGCTCCAGGGGCACAAAGACTTGCAAGGTTGCCACGGCCAGCAGCGTGGCCCAAGCCAGGATCTTTCGAGATCATACCCCCGACCCACGAAAATGACCCGCCTTTAGCCCACCCAGCAAATTGCTGAAAGCTTGCTGCTGCCCAGGCTCTGGTCGTTTTCTCTTGTCATTTGACCAGTTCCTTCAGCCAAAGCCCGAATTTAGCTGAAACCCCTTCCTTCCCCATCTCTCATGAAGCTCTGCTTGGCCAGTGGCGTGTGTGCTTGCAGTGTCTGACCCAGTCTCATTTTTATAGTCTCTTCAGTCAAAAGATCTTGTTCAGTATCACTACCACGTGCGACTGAAGTCTACCGCTTTGTAACCTGTTCTTATCACTTTCAACCTTTTACGACGTTTCCATATCACATATAAAGTTCTCCATCGTGAGTTGTTAAGGTTGCCTAGTCCTGTTTAGCTAACTCAGTACTTACTTCACTGTTCCTTATCAATGGGCATTAAGATGGTTTTCGGGTTTTCATCATTATAAACAATGTTAAACATTTTCAAATGTTTTCCTGGATAACTCTTAGAATAAATTCCTAGCAGTGCAATGACTGGGTGAAAGAGTAAATAAAAATGCCACATTGTGTAGCACTTTGGAGCTTATGGAGAGGGAAACGTGAAAGAGACGTGCCCAAAGGCTGAGACTTGAGTATCAGGGCCAAAAGGAGGGCCAGATCTCCTGAACCCTGATCCATGTGTCTTTTTAGCATCTCATACTGTTCTTTGAAACATACAGGTGCCTGCAGTTTATACTCCATAACAGATAAAGTACACCTGGCTTAATTACTTTCCTCTTGTTGCTGGGACAAAATAGCCAACACCCAAAATTAAGGAAGGCAAGATTTATCTAGCTTACAGTTTGTAGAGGTTTCAGCCCAAAATTGGCCGGCTCTAAGGAAGAGTGCCTCGGCACAGGGGCAACACTTCAAGGTAGCAAAAGACAGCCAAAGCAACAAGAGGGAAAGGCAGGCACGAGCCTCTCTTCCTCCCTTACATCTGAGCAGGCCAGCCTAGCCTCGCACCATTTTCTGCCCTCCTCTTGCACAGGGTGAGGGTGTTTACAAAGGAGGATCCTGCCTCCCTGCTGAGTCCCGTAAACTTCTAAACTTCTCAAGTTGGCACAAAGTGTCAACTGTTACACTCTGAAACAGTGCAGATAGTTTGCAGTTATGGTTTATGATTCATCATGGTGTAATGAGGGATAATCTCTATTCTGTCCTAGCAATCAGAAATACTATTGTAGTTAGAATAGTGTTTCCTCAGCTTCGTGATCACTTGGGACTTTCCTTAATGTCAGATTCCTGAGTTGAACCCAAAAGCTGCTGACTTACACTCTCCTGGCGATGGGCCTGGGCAGATAGGCTTAACAAGCACTACAGGTGATTTTAATAATCAGAAAAAATCCGGAAAATGCTTGGAGAGAGGTAGGCAAAGATATGAGTGGTTGCAAGGGGTCAACTTCATTATGAGAGTGAATTGATTAGATTACATCCCGGTGGAACTGGGGAGAGGCCGCAAATTACAAACAAGCAGGTGGGCAAACGTGAAAGAGGGCGGAAAGATCATGTTTCAGAGCAGAAGCGTGATGACAGCAGTCACTCTTGCTTAGCATGTCTTTCCACACACATGAAGGGGACATTACTTTCTCGGCTGAGGCTGTGATGAGGGCGGAGTGTGGGTGTGAGACCCAGAGACCTGTCAGGGGTGGTCAGAGAGGCGAGGGACCAAGGGGCCTCTCTGCCCCTAAAGATGCTGCCTTTTTCTCCAGAATGGGAACTTTGGCCTTGGAAAGGGCAGCTTTGATCAGATCCTCTCTTTGGGAGCTCCTGGAGGCTGACAGGCAGCCCAGGAGGCAGGAGAGAAGAAAGTCCACTGTGGGGCTGGGGTAATGGGAGTGCCCCAGAGAGGACCCCATCTGCCTCTGCCTGCCCAACTTGGGCTGCTATGTGCCTGGGACAACCGCCCACAGCTGGCCCCAAGCAAGCAGGAAGCAGCTTCTAGGATCCTGCTTCAGAAACGTTCTCCAGCCGTGTTGGGAAGGCAACTATGCTCTGTGCAGCCGCTTTGAAAGGCAGTAGAAATGCTCATTCCAGGATAAGATGGTGTCTTATCATCAGTAGGCAGAAAAGTCTCTAAACGTGATAGATTCTTAATATTTCGCTAAATAAGCAGCAGAATCTCTTTCAAATATATGTTTTCCACGCTCTTTTTAATGAACCTTTTAAAGTTAGCTAACTTAGGACTGCAAGGAGTTCCCTCTCCTTTTCTCTGAATGTCCTGCTCTCTGCCTGAGGACAACGAGGTCACCTCTGTCCTGATAATCACAAAGCATTTCCTGGGTGAGTTTTATGTTGCTCTTTTGCATACAAGAAAGTTTTTGGTTTCCTTGTTGTGGCATTTGGGCAGGAGCCCTCCTTTCTGAATTCAGTTCTTTTAATCAACAATATATGACTCTTTTTTTATTTTTTTTTGTATATCCTGTATTCCTTTTCTTTTTTTTTCAAAGTTTTATTGATAAATAGATAGCAATGAGACAGTTTCAAATCTAATCGGAAGTACAGTTTCGACAAATAATACACTGCATATATTCTTCTCAGTGGTTAATTGCTGTACAAGAAGTGGACTTGTGATCCTATTTACAAACACCATTAGAACAAATCATTCTATTCATTAAGAGAATGCAACTATATATCTATCCTAACCACTTTGAATACACAGATACAAAATGAACATTCATCGGTATACCCCATTTTTTCTAAGATGACTCTTTTTTTAAAAAATGTATTTTTAGGACAGGGTCTACCAGGTCTACAGGGTCTCACTATATAAATCGGACTCATCGTGATGCTCCTGTTTTCAGCCTCCCAAAGCCCTGGAATTACAGGTGTGTGCTACCACACCCAGTGTAACAATTTATAACTCTTAAGTACTCATGTTCTGTCTTTTTTTTTTTGGCAGAACTGGGGATTGAACTCAGGCCCTTTTGCTTGCCAGGGAAGTGCTTACCCTAGTGAGCCATCTCCCTGGCCCTCATGTTCTGTCTTATTTTCCACAATTAAAGCAATATTAATACACAACCTAAAGGAGATAATTAAATAAATTTAATTAAATAAATTATGTGACATGCTTCGACAACTAAAAGTGATTCTAAGCATTCGTGAGCTACGAGTGCTGATATGAAAAATGTCCACCACATATCACTAGGGTTGCAGAGAAGTATAATTTGTTTTGCTCTTACAAAAAAAAAAATGTATTGGTGTGTCTCTCCATCTATGTGGGTAGATAAATGTATCTGCATTTAAAGTCTAAAGACTTAATATCTCATCCAAAGGAGGAGATAGCACACGTGGTGGGCAGCCCAGGAGGGCTGGTTTGATTTTACAAATATTGTTTGCCCTGATTTGTGTTCTTGATCTCCTGGCTTCAGATATATTTAGTATTATTCCTGATGGTAGAAATAGGCAGATGGGTAAAAAGATGACTCCTGGATTTTCTTTTGTTTTTGTTTGCATTATTTACTTCTGTTTTGATGGTTTTTAATGATAATAAAGTAGAGTAATTTTAAAGCAACAGCAGAATGCTGGGGCTTGCACGTAGATCTCTTCCCAAGGCATCACGCGGCCACAGCGGATCAGGGTCCATGAGTGTAGTTTAAGGACATGATACAGGATTAAGGGTGTGGGTGGCACAGGTCGTAGGCTTATGCTCTGCATGGAGTACAACGGGACAGAGAGAGGGCAAGCGTGGTGCTTCCTGCTCCCTGCCTGCCCTGCCCGACTGTTTCGCCCCGTGACGCCCCTCTGCCCTGCCACCATGCCACCATGCCGCCCTGCCTTGGAGCCAGCCAATGAGGGACTGAAGCATCTGCAAACTGAACTGAAATAGACTTGTCCTCTTTTAGCTTGTGGATGTCAGGTATTCTGTCTCAATAACAATGATAGTAAGGCACAGCAACAATAGCAAATCTCATTTCTATCTGCGAGATCCTGAGATGCTAAAGAATCAACAGCTCATAGGTCAAATCTCAGTGGCTTACAGGTACAGTATCCCATGAATAGCTTTGGAGTATGAGGCTTCCAGACAATGTCCAGGTCACTGACATCCAACGAAGATATTCAGTCTAAAGAGGTTTTATGATTTGCCCAAGGTCATTTGCCAAAACATGGCCAGAGTGAGAAGCCAGATTTACTTGTTCCTCCCTGCCCTCTCAGTTCATGTTGGTTCTGTCCAAAAACTGCTTCTGCAGATCACACAGCCTTAAAAGTACAAGATGACATTAATTGGAATTTAGTAGGATAAAGCAAATAAGAAATATGGCAATTTCTACCAGTTATGCTAATATAGATTAAAATAACTTTCAAATATCAAATATGAATTTCATTTGGAAAAGTCAGGCTATGCCAGTGAGTGTGTTCTTGCATTACAGTTGCTTTAACTACATGACCACGCAGCGTTAATTTCTTGTCCCATTTTGGACACTTAGATCCACGTTGAATGAGCCTTTTTAAAAAAAATTATTTTATTTTATTTGGAAGAGTAAAAACAAAAGCAAAAACAAATAGCAGAAACAAAGACAGAAATAGGCTAACATACAACAATACATATGTTAACAGATTTTCAAAACAAGAATAGGTAATTAGCTTGGTTGCTCTATTTATTTTTATTGTCAAATCTATTGCTCAGATTAACAGATAAAGTTATGCAAATTGGACAAATAATTGAATATTACCACTTGCTTTCAAGAAACCTTAAATTTTTTTCTTGTCTTTGATTTTTTACTTTTTAAAAACTTTATGTTAATGAAAGTGTAGTAATTGATAAGACATTAGAAACAGTACACAGAAGGCCAAGCTGAAAGGTATTCAAGCATAGTTTTCGTATTACACATTGCTGTCCTCAATGTCATTGTTTAGATCACAGATATCAACATATAGTTAAGGTGAAAATTCTACACATTAACTGCTATTTTCAAAAACCATGGAAATTAGTAGTGCAATCATCTCAGCCGTCCTGTATATATACTTGCATGTTTTCCCCCTTCCTTTTTTCCTACCTTTTCTCATTTCTCTCATCTTCATCATTTAGTTAAGTTCAGTATCTCTGTGTTTTACTATATCTATTATACTTTTCAGGTTTTATTTCTTCTTCTTCTTTTTTTTTTTTTTTTTTTCAGTACCAGGGATTGAACTCAGGACCCTGCACTTGCCAGACAAACGCTTATTCTACTGAGCTATCTCCCTGGCCCTTATTTCTTCTTTCAGGATTGGAAGTTATAAGTAAAAGTTCATTTATAAACAAATGTTAGATAAAAAATTATTTATATAAGAAAAATGTTAACACATGCTATGTAACTAGTAGCTAGGGCAGTGGTTACCAGGG